ATATAATATGAAGATGTTGTGTTTAATACTGATGAGAGCTGAAATTTCACTGTGGGACCCTTCTCCCAAAACTGACTGGATGTGCCAGGAGAAGTCCTGCAGCAGAGGAAGCTCTGCTGCCTGCCTGTGTCAATGCACGTTCCTCTATTTTCTTTCTCTTTTTCCTAATAAAACTGTCTTTTTAAAATGTTAAGGAAAGCCCTCCATGGTGGTGCAGCAGGTTGGAGCGCCGCACTGTGAAGCTAAGCCAAGCCCTGGCCACTTCAGGATCCCAGCCCCGGAGGTGACCACAGCGGCAGACCTCTCCTGACCCGCCCGCTGCTCCCCTCAGTAGTGTGCTTTGTCGATCTGCCTGTTCTGCTCCCCGCTCTGTCTCTGGTGAATCCTCTCACCCCTGCACCTTTGGCCTGTGCCCCAGTTCTGTATAAATAAAATCTTTAAAAATAAATAAATAAATAATGAAATGTTAAAGAAAAAAATACAGTGGTCTTGTAGAAAACACATATGCCTGGGAAGAAATGTGATCAACCACTTCTTCGCTCGTGTTGCTGGCTAGCGGGAGTTCCAACATGAGACGGTCTGGGCAGACTTAAGGTACTGCTGAAGGACCCTGAAACAAGTACAGGTCAGAACCACTGGAAAGGTTGGACACCTCAAGGCCTGCAAATGAAAACCAGAAACACTGTCAAAATTTCGTTTATGTTTGAGCACTGCATTGTTTGACATGAAAAACTGGTTACTCACTTTCTCCCTGCAAGTCTATCATCTCACTCCAGCTTAACTGGAAGAGAGATTCCTGCAGTGTCAAATCTGCCAGAATGTTCCCAGGGCTCAAAGTCTCACCTTGATTACCTAAGCAATTTTTTGTCTAATTATTGTGTATGGGGACTCTCTGATCCAGTCCACACTGGTAACTGATGTGCATGAGTTAGTTACATGACTGTGAGGATGAGGAGGGGGGAGAGTCATCTGCAGGCAATGCACTGTGTGTGCTCTCTGAGGTAGACTCTCTGGGTCAGAACTCCTTTACCTATTATCCAAGTCAAGGACAAACTATTCCACTCATCTGCTCTGCATTCTCCATTTTAAAAAAGGATGGCATCATGTTACCTCTTGGGGTTTTATGAGGATAAATGAATGAATATGGGCAAGACCATGAACATCATACCTGGAACGTGGGAACCTTTGTGTTTTGTATGTTTGCCATTGTAAAATGAAGCACCAATTTCCCTTAAAAAAAAATTTTATAGGCCCCTTGGTGGTGCAAGCAGTTAAAGTGCAGCTATGAAGCTACCACAGCCACTATAGCCACTACAGAGTTCCATCTCCCGCCAGGGAGCTGACCCACAGGGCACGGCAGGCCTCTCCTGTCTCCCCTGCTGCTCCCCTCAGCAGTGTACTGTCAGTCAGCCTGTTCTGCTCCCCACTCTGTCTCTGGTGAAGCCTCTCACCACCCCTGAGCCTCTTGCTTGTACCCAGTTCTGTATGCGTAAGTAAATAAATCTTTAAAAAAAAGATTTATTTATGCATACAAGAATTGGGGTACAGGCCAGAAGTGTAGGGGGTGAGAGGATTCACCAGAGTGGGGAGCAGAACAGGCAGATTGACTTTTAAGTAGACTGCTGAGGGGAGCAGTGGGCAGGGCAGAGCTCTGTCGTGCCATGTGGGCCAGCTCCGGGGCGGGGAGCAAACTCGTGTTCAGTCACTGTGGCTGGCCTCAAAGGCTGTGCTTTCCTGGCTCGCACCAGGAGAAAGGGCTCTGGAGCAGCTTGCCAGCTTTTTGTTTTTTTGGTTTAAGATTTATTTATGCACCTATGGCCCTCCCTGGTGGCGCAGCGGGTTAAAGCGCAGTACTGAGAAGCTAAAGCCGCTTCCGCATGAGTTCGATTCCCGCCTGCCCCGGAGGTGACCACAGGGCGCGGCAGACCTCTCCTGACCCGCCCGCTGCTCCCCTCAGCAGTGTACTTCCACGATCTGCCTGTTCTGCTCCCCACTCTGTCTCTGGTGAAGCCTCTTGCCACCCCTGAGCCTCTGGCCTGTATCCCAGTTCTATAGCACAAATAAAATAAATCTTTAAAAAAAAAAATAGGTCTTAGTACTGTAGACATGATACATTTCAAAACTTCCATCTCTCTAATAATTCAAGACCACGAAAGGTTCGAGACCACAAAAAACCTTGAGAACATAGGAGACTGCTTATGGCCACTTTGCAAACAATCAAGATGATGAGACACTATATTGTCTGCAATTATTTTTTAATATAGGAATACAATCCACTGGGGACTTTTAGAAGATTTATGTATGCATATAGGCCAGAGGTGCAGCGGTCGTGTCAAGAGAACTCACCAGAGACACAGTAGTAAGCAAAATCGGCAGACTGACAAAGAACACTGCTGAGGGGAGCCGTGGGCAAGACAGGAGAGGTCCAGTGCACCCTGTGGGTCACCTCCCTGGCCGGGGATTGAACTCATGCTGAAGCAGCTACAGCTAGCTTGTAGCCACGTGGTAGTGTTGTGCTTCAACCTGTTGCACTACCAGGGAGGGCCTGAATCTTTCTCAATGAAAGTTATTTAGTTAACAAAAGTGACTTACACCTCTGTCACTGATTTTTTTTAAGATTTATACATACAGAACTGGGGTGCAGGCCTGAAATGCAGGGGCAATGAGAGAACTCACCAAGGACAAGTAGGTGGCAGGACAGGCAGGTCGACAAAGTACACTGCTGAGGGGAGCAGTGGACGCAGTTAGGTGGTTTGTTGCACCATGTAGGTCACCTCCCTGGCCGGGATGGAATTCCTGAGGTGGCTGTGGCTAGCTTCATAGTGTTGTGCCTTAAGCCGTTTGACCACCAGGGAGGGCCCTCAGTCACTGGAGTCTTAAGTGACTGGTCCATATTCCAATCTCCAAAAGTACCAATATCCCTTAATACTGGTTTATGAAGATGAGGGTGCAATCCAGGACCTCACATTGCAACTTGCCTCCAACTTTCTTTCTCCACGGAACACGGAGGAGTCTCCCCAACTGCAATGCAGTGATTCCATTCTTTGACATCAACTCTGCTCCTCACTGACGGGCCTCTTAATGCAGCAATGAACATCCCAACACATACCCAAGTGCTAGTGTAACTTAAAACCAAGTTTCCCAACACACCCAAGGTGACTCTAGCCCTATGCTCGGATTCTTGCAAGTACCAGTACATCTCCCTGCCCTCATGACACACACGAGAAACCGTGCTCTGCACTCCCTGACAGGGTTTTCTTGCTCCTGGGCCAAACACCTAGGAAATGAAGTTCCCACTACTATTGAGTCCACACAGTAGATACCAGTGTCATGGTGGGGAGAGCAGGGGGCACCAAGTTGGCAGATGTACGAACGGAAGCAGGCAATACAGAGCAACGGGAGGACCTAGTAGCCATGGGGCAGAACACTGAACCTGGAGAGAAGTAAATGGATCTGTACTGTGAGTGTTAGGATAGTTCCTGAGACCTTGGAACTTTTCATCACAAGAAAAAAATTATGATTTATTATACACTTGTTAATTGTGTCATTTTCAACGTTTCGACAAGTGTAAGGTGTATGTATTTTGATGTAATTGAAAAATGAGGAGCAATTGCCAACAATTACTAGTCACCCTGCTGTTATACTTCTGTATTATGCTGTAGCCGAAGTTCTTACCTTCTGACCATCTTCACCATCCCTGACCTTGGCAACCGCCAACCTATTCTGACTGTGCTCAGACATTAACTAGACTTGGGATCATTTAGCAAAATATACAGATATTGAAGTATGTACACATAACTTACGCTCTGTCAAACAGAAAATTACCAAGTGCTTACACGTGGGATTTTTGGTGGGCTGCAATACATTAACCCTGTCTTTATGAGTTGACTTTTAAGATAGTGATACACTGACAAAAATGGACAATTTACAACTATCGAACCATGGATAAAACCAGGTATTTTGGGCCCCTCCCTGGTGGCGCAGCGGGTCACAGCGCAGCACTGAGACGCTACAGCCGCTTCCGCCTGAGTTGGATCCCTGCCTGCCCCGGAGGTGACCCCAGGGCATGGCAGACCTCTCCTGACCCGCCCGCTGCTCCCCTCAGCAGTGGACTTGTCGATCTGCCTGTTCTGCTCCCCACTCTGTCTCTGGTGAATCCCCTCACCCTCCGCATCTCTGGCCTGTACCCCAGTTCTGTACGAATAAATATAAATCTTAAAAAAAAAAAACAACCAGGTATTTTGTTAACAAGCATGCTGTATTAATACTTTAGAAAAAGAAATACTGGAATTATCAGTAGCTGCTTGGAGTAGGCGGTACTCACCATTTTGGCAGCCACTGTCACAAACATGCACAGAACACAGATTTCATGTACAAAGTCATGTATCAATAAAACCAATGTAGAAGAAAAGCATCCTGCATCTACCAGCAAAAAACCTGTTTAACGACCCATTCTTCTGGGGAAATGACTCCTGTACAAACCCTACTGAGGGTAGCTTAGCACAATGTACTAAAATGAAAATATGTGGCTCTTTTGACTCAGCAAATAATTCTCACCTCATCATTTGTTCATCTGCACAGCTGAGGTCACCCACTAGACTGTGCTCAACTAACAGAAGCCATCCCTTGCAGTAATTACACACAAGTGAGGTTTTTGGTTAAAGCGCGGGGAAGACGGTAATTACAGCTATTTGATGTGTATGTCTATGCCTGAAAACCCGCCAGATTCAGCAAGGGCTGAGAATTGTGGCTCGAGGACCCCAGTTCTTCCCCTCCTGCAGATGAGCTTCTTTAGCACTGACTGGGAAGTCAGTATTTGGTGGCACTGCTGGTGGAAAACCAGACACTAAGGAAGTGAAGAAATGTGATCAAAGGCAGCGAGAGGTTTTACCCAGCGGACAGCACCCCCCCCCAACCGCATTCCTCTTGGAGGAGTCCAACAGCCCATTAATACGAGCCAACTACCCCACCAGGCAGATTAAAAAAAAAAAGAAGACAAAGAAATGATCATTATTTAATTATATTCTTTGCAGGAAACTTAGAACACCAATTTGTGTGGGTAAATGCCATTGGTGAGAGCAAACACAGAGCGGAGGTAGCCCTGGAGCTGGGGAACAGCTTTGATTTTTGGCAGAATTTGCGAGTCCACAGCCTTCTGATCAAACTTCCGCTGCTCTGTAATCTCGTATTTCTAAAGAAAAAGAAAATCATTTAGAAAACTAGGGCACAAATACCAAATTCTTCAATCAACCAAAGAAACTTATAAATAACTCAATCCCAGTAACATTTAGGCTTTGAAGGCAATTCTGAAAAACCCTTTCTTGAAAAGCTGTGAGATCTCGCATCTGTGATGCAAAGGCAGCTAAGCATGCGTCCCCAACAGAGCAGGAGCAGTGACTCTGTCAGAGCTGCTCCGAAACTAGGTTCTCACGCTGCTCCACGGAGCTTCCCTGCGACCAGCACCCCCACTCCGAGGCATCTGCCCACAGACACAAAAACACGATTCAAAGACACCTGCACCCCCATGTTTACTGCTGCTTTATTCACAATTGGAAAGACATGGAAACAGCCCAAAAGGTTTCTCTCATAACAGGAATATAACGGAACAGGCGAGAAAATAATAACGACAACAGCTATATGCCAGACAGTTTGTGGGGGGGAGTGGGATCAGAAACAGTGGGGGAGGGAAGTGCACTGGACCGTGTGATGGCACAGGGTGATCTGGCGATGGGAAACAGAGTCGCTCCAAAACCAGAGGCTCTGACCTGAGCTCCCAGTGCTACTAGGAGCTACTGAATTTGGGAACATCACTTTTTGTTGAATATTCCTCATTATTACTTATACCTTTTTTGGATTAAAAACACTCTTAACCCTTATTTTCATTTCCAACTGGGGGAGCCAAAGCTATCAGAGGCGAAGACAGAAACAGAAGCTTACCTCCTTCTCTGTGTCGAAGATCTCACCTTCCTGGTGTCGGGGCTTTCGCAGCTTCTTCTTCTTGAAGTAAGCGTCCGTGAGATGTTTGGGGATTTTCACACCACTGATGTCAATCTTGGTAGAGGTGGCAATGACAAATTTCTGGTGTGTCCTACGCAGGGGGACCCGATTGAGAGACAGAGGTCCTAAGGACAAAAAGGAAAAGTCAGTATCAGAGGTTAAATCAATCATTTTAGGAAGACTTTGGAGTGGGGCCTCCCTGCTGGCACAAGGGGTTAAAGAACAGCACTGTGAACTATCCCCAGCCAGGGAGCTGACCCACATGGCTCAGCAGACCTCTCCTGTCTCACTCTCTGCTACACTCAGCAGTCTATTTCAGTCAATCTGCCTGTTCTGCTCCCCAGTCTCTGGTGAATTCTCAACCCCCAGTATCCCAGTTCTTGTATGCATAAATAAATCTTAAAAAAAAAAAAAAAACCAACAAAACCAAACAAACAAACAAACAAACGAATGACTTTGGGGAATCCAAGTGAGTAGAATTTGTGATGTCTCTGTATCTGAAGTAATCCAAATTGCTCTTTTTACTACCAACACTGAGAACTCGGCAGTATTTCAGTTTGACCAAGAATGTATGTCCGTGCCCCTCAAAATCCAGTCAATTTTCCTAAGTAACCCTAGTTGGAAACAGCACAATCGCTTATACAGGTTGTTCAAAATTACAAGGCCCTGATGGCAAACCGAAAGTGAGTACTGCTTGCCCGAGTGAAGTTTACTTTTCAGAAGTGTTCAGCAGTGACTTCTCGATGCTCAGTGGCAACCATTATGCATGTCAGCAGCAGTCACTAGTGGTACTGCCACACAGAAATTTACCTACCTCAGGAAAACATGTTGTACACACACAACAAAGAAATTGGGCACAGAATTCTCACGCCACTGAAAACTCTTAGAAGTGCAAAAGGATAGTTCACAAACATGTAAAAGCCCAAATTTCAGAGAATATAAAAATCGATGATTCCTTACCAGTCACAAGTAGCAAGCCACTGCCCAGCTGCTTCAAGAAAACCACCCTCTGGAAATTAAGCAGAAATGCTAATTCTATAACTAGAAATTGAATTCTGGATTAATCAAATCATAGGCATGAAACTGACAAAACTTCTCATCCCCAGCAATTTTAAGAGCCAACTGTTTCAACACAAGGGTGACTTATTCAAAGTACTACACGCCTGTAACAAAAAACAAACATGTCCTCCTTGGTGGCGCAGTTAAAGCACAACACTACAAAGCCATCCGCGGTCCAGTGAGGGAGCTGACCCCCACGTGCAGCAGCCCTCTCCTGACCCGCCCGCTGCTCCCCTCAGCAGTGTGCTGCAGTCAATCCATCTGTTCTGCTCCCCGCTCTGTCCCTGGTGAATTCTCTCACTTCCAGCACCTCTGGCCTGTACCCCAGTTCTTAGATGCACAAACAAATCTTTAAACAAACAACAAACAAAAAAAACTTTAAAACTCTCTAATTTTACTTCCTGCAAAGTCTATCCTAAGGAGTTAACTTAAAATACATGACCGTTTTCAGATGTGGCCCTTGAGTCACACGTAACAAGTACATCACCAGGAGAAAATGGTAACAGATTATTGTGTATCATGGACTAAACTCTCCATGTTAACAGACACAGCACAATCAGGCAGTTCAGGCACCTGTGACACCCAGTCGCTCTACTCACCTTGCCCCTGTGACGCCCTGTTAGGATGATCAGGATGGTCCCTGGAGTAATGCTGGCTCGCAGTTTCCTGACATGCTGACTGAAAGGCTTTTTGCCATGGCTCAGCAGCTTTCGGGGAACATCTTCAGTAGGGTAGTATCTGGGCTGCAGAGAGCCAAGGAGTTCAACTTATTTAAATGCCATATTTAGATCAGTAGAACTGGTTATGACAGTTGAAATCTTTGCTAGAACCTTTTTACATATTTGAAAAATTTTATTTACTGTATTTTTATTTCTCCTAAGCAGATCTTAAATCTGGAAATGATCAACACTTCTTCTACATTGCTCACTTGCACAACAGAATGGAATCCATTTCACTGAGGAAAGTGTATGATGAAAGCAATAACCAAGTTACCCTCTTAATCTCAGAATAAAACCAAACTATTACAAGGCAAGCCGTGATACAGCGTCACGTACAAAACCATACACAAATGACAGTGATTTTCACGCTTTTCTGGGACTGCTAACCCCTACTAAACCACCCCCACCCCCAATATGTCTTGGAGGATGATTGCTTTCCAATTCAAATTAGAGCATTCACACCCTTATTACTACCTTGCATTGTCACTCACCACTTTCATTTTCTAGGGAAAAATATCTCACAAGAGGCCATTAGTTTAGATCAGGACTGCGGGCTCAAAGACTGTAAACATTTGGTATTAGCCGAAACTCCTGAGGCTATGACAATAACTCATTTCTAACTGCTTTTCATCTTAATAGACAGCCTGCCTTTACCAAAAAGCTAGTAATACCTAGTAGAAAAACCAACCCGCAATCAAAACGTGATCTTCCTATTGGGGCAATAACCGTCACCTGTGAAAAGTAACATAATTGACACCATTTCCTTAATTCACATCACAGGGAAAGCTGGGAGACGTGCTGGTTGTTGGCCACAGCAGACAGTCACGAAACATTACTCCAGAGGTTTATAAACTAACAAACCTGGCGGCATCGCAAGCTTTCAGCATGTTGTAACTTAACTCACACCTCTGCATAGTAACTTTATTCCTGTTGTACACACAAAACCCCCTAAGCACAGAGAAGTAACTGTTGAGTGTGTGAGTTGCAAACCCAGAGTCATCACCCTTACCAACACTTCTCTGGCCAACAGGACTTCCAGCCTGAGTATGCCTCAACAGCAAACACCTTCACACCACTCCAGTTTCTAAGAACCATCTCTTCTGCAGTCCCTCAGTCTTACCATTTTGCGCAGTTTCACTACGCGGGTGCCACCATTCTTGTCACCACCCACTGGCTTTGTGACTGTAGCCAGAACCTTCTCCTTCTTTTTCTTTTCAATCTGTCGGGGCAAATACGAAATAGCCAAGTTAGAAGCGAAGCAGATCAGCAATTTAAGGTGAAAGGGTAGCGCTGGCGGTGCCCGGCCCCTTACCCTGGATTTGGCCGCTGAGTACTTCCTCTTGTACATGGCCTTTCTGGAATACATGGCAGACCGCGAGTACCTGCCGATGCCTCGCACCAGGACGGGGTTCCGGCTGCAGTGGGGCTTCCCCTTCTTAGGGGTTCTGGCCTTGCCCTTGGCCTTCTTAACCTTGCCACCAGCATCAGCTTTCTTGGCTGCAGGTTTCTTCTCTTTAGCAGGCGCCTTCTCAGCCTTTTCACCCGCCATCTACCAACACATCAAAAAAAAAAAACAAGTCATTTCGCTCCCGGTCACTTCATAAACCGCGCGCGGATGGCCGCACCCTTCTCCCTCACCGTAACAGCGTTCTCACGCCCCAGAAGGGCCCATGAGGAC